ATATATATATATATATATATATATATATATATATATATATATATTCCAAAGAAAAAACTTTAAAAATGTCAAATAAAATACTCCAAATAAGAGCTAATTACTGTCTGGCAGAACTAATAAATGAAAAAAAAAAATCAAAGCTGAATGAAAGCTTTATTACAACTCCTTTGCTACTGGAAAACAGCTTGAGGTACTTGTACAAAACCTGGGCTTTTTTGGAATAATGACTTTGGGTTTGTGTTTCTTTTTCCAAACATTATAGATTAATAGTATATGCACAATAAATGAATAATGGACCATTAAGCTTTTCCTAAGACTCTTTTTTTTTTTTTTTTGGTCAATAGAAACTGAGCAAATATTTTTAATAAAATCTAAGACTCTTTTAAAAAAAAAAAAGATTTAATCTATTCATTTGACAGAAAGAGAGCACAAGCAGGGGGAGCAGCAGCCAGAGGGAGAGGGATAGGGAGAGAAAGAAGCAGGCTCCTCACTGAGTGGGGAGCCCAATACGGAGCTTGATCCCAGGACCCTGGGATCATGACCTGAGCTGAAGGTAGATGCACAACTGACTGAGCCACCCAGGCTCAGCCACCCTTTTCGTAAGGGTGCTAATAATAATATTCAAGAAAGAATCTCAAACTCAATTATAATGGTGGAGGAAGCTTCCATTTTTGAGAATAATGTATTAGTCCTATGTAGCTATATCCCAAGAGGCAGGATTTGGCTGTCAAGTCCTGGAAGGTCATTATCAAGAGGCTCTATGTTAGCCATCTAACTGCAAATTTGATCCAGGTTTCCTTTTCTAAAAATGGGATATCAAAAAGAATAAAGGACTAGCCATACTTACAATCTTTTCTTTAAATATACGGGAAACATGATGTCGATGTTCAGTTCATTATTTGAGACATTTTGTTTGTCTCGTCTACAACAGTTGAGGCAATACACAAAAATGAAGGCCCCTTCAAACTTTTTTACCTTTTCAATCAGAAAAATAAGATGCTTATCAGTGCCTGGGTGGCTCCAGTTGGTTAAACCACTGCCTCTGGCTGGGGTCATGATCCAAAAGTCCCAGGACTGAGTCCCACTCCAAGGCTCCTTGCTCAGCGGGAAGCCTGCTTCTCCCTCTGACCATCTCCCCCTCCTGCTTTCTCTCTCTTTCTCTCTCTCTCTCTCTCTCTCTCAAGTAAATAAGTAAAATCTTTTAAAAAATAAATAAATAAATAAATAAAGAGAAGATGCTCAGGTCTTGAGAATTACCTGTCCTGTTTCATAGGTAGCACCTGTATTGCTGCTACACATCTGTGGAAGCACAGTATCAGCCAACTGTTAATCAAGGATCACTTCCCTTCAAAGTGACTGATGATCCACTGTTAAAACAGCTTATAAAAATAACTTCTCCTTCAAAAAGGTGCTTCAGGGTTTTCAGACACATCTCACCATTCCTGCTAGCTTAATGCATGTTTGAAAGTTAATTTCTCATTAATATTTAAAGTAGAAATGGCTTCAGAACAAATTTTAAATGATCCATTACATTTTAGAAATAAAATATTATTGGCATTATTTTCATCTCGATTACAAGGAATAATAATGTCCAAGATTGGCTTTTAAAACTGTTAATGAGCCCTGGCAATGTGAAAAAGATATGGATTAGGTAGATGTAATGAGATATGATTAAAGGGTGCAGGCACTGAAGGGTGTTGGGAGAAATTCTTTTCTGAAAGAGTATAATTAGTGTCTGATAAAAGTACTTAGTAGATAAGATTTTTGAAGAAGAAAGGTTAAGATAAACACATACTTTATGACAAACCTGCTTAATTTTTCCCCTTTGGTTCTCTTACATACTCAATATTATGTTGAAGTTTCATACATAAATAATGTTTGTCAAATACTTCATGCAATTCTACCAGACAATTAGAGTGTTTTAATTGCCAGACACTGAGAGCAGAAAATGTGTTGAAACATCTTATTCCATTTTCAGTGTACATTTCTTTGTTGATTTATGTAATGTAGCTAATAATATGCAACCTACCCTAGTTTTAAACAAACAAATGAACTTCTAAAAAGCAAGCTTTCCATAAGTTGCTAAGCAACTCCAAAGGCACATTTTATCAATTTAATAAATAACATTTAGATGACAAATCCTTAAGAGAGATTTCTAACTCCGTTTTATAAAAAGAAGAAAATACAAGCAGGTACCCTTCTGATTTTCCTGTTTCTGAGGCCTCAGGTCTAGACAGAGGCACTGCCGTCTTCAGAGGTACATCAGACTCACTAAACAAATAAAACATTTTGTCAACTGAAGTTGTTATATAATAGAAATTAGGTTCTGGGACTCATTGTGCAGCTCTCAGAGCTCATGCTTCATTCCCATAACTGATGGTTTCTCAGCCTCAGCCCTACTGACTTTTTGGACTAGATACTTTGTTGCCCTGGGGGGGTTCTCCCATGCATTGTAAGACTTTCGTAATAATTATCCTGGGCTTCTACTTGCTAGATGCCAGTAGTGGCCTCCTAGTTGTTAAAACTAAAAATATGTCTCCCAAGATTGCCAAATGTGCCTGAGGTGGGGACAGGGAAGGTTGTAGGGTGTCAGAAATCACACCCAGTTGAGACAGTTAAGAACTACTACAGATGAATAATGAGTAAAGATGCTGTAAGAAACCTATCTTGAGCTTAATTGGAGAAGATATCATGATACTGTTTCCATCAGTCAACACCTAATATATCCTAGCACCACCAACAATGAAGAATAAAGGAGTAGTACTGATTTCAGGGGTGCTGTGGCTCTTGCTCCATTCAAGGCTCGTTATTGATCTTATCATATCAATGTAATTCCCACTGTTTAAAAACTGGTGAGAAAGGGCCTTGTCATAGTTCTGTCTCTGTTCTAGTATCCCATTCCAGAACTGCCCCAAAGTCTTTTCTCCTACTCTTTTTACCTCAGTTTTCACTATACTCAAGTGCTGACTAGATTCATCTAAATATAAATCTCAATTTTAATAAAGCCATCCTCAGCCCATAGCACCACAATAGGTCTCTATCACTTCTGTTATCAAATACAAACTCCTCTACGTGGTCTTTAAGGTTTCCTACAAATTACCACCAAACTCCATCTCACCAAACATCTTTCTCATTTTCCACTTATATCACCTTTACCCCCTCAAACACAAACATCTTGCATATGATCATCTTCCTATGTGACACATAAAGGACAAACTCATTTTCTCCATGAAAGTTTTCCTAATTAATCCTTCCTTTATTTCTTATCAGTATCATATTTCTGTTAGAAGAATGGCATGACTGCAAGTTAATATGTGAGGCAACTGTTTACTGAATGTTTTCAATATGCCACACTGATTATTACTTAGTAGCTATTTCTATCAATTTATGTTTACATTATTTATGCTCAACTAGACTGTAAGTTCCCAAAGAATAAGAACAGGTCTTATTTGTATCCCTCTTAATAATGATGCTAATAAATGTTTTAAATTTGATTAGCAATTATAACCTTTCAAATTCCATTCCTGGTTATTAACTTGTTGGTTATATATTTTCACTATTTTATAGTCAATGAAAATGGCACATTAAATACTCTAGGGACTAATCTATGGTTACACAACCATAGATTATTAAAACATTCATTTAATATATGCCGACTGAATTCAGCCATACAACTTCACAACTACAAAATTTATCTCGTTTCTAAAGTTATTATGGCCTTTAAAAACAAGTGTTCTTCTGAACAAGAACAGCTGAAGGATGCAGAAGACACAACGCAGAAGTGAATTAAGGTTTTCAAGGGTTAAATTGTGACATAGCAGGAAAGCGAAAGAGAAATTAGTTACTGCCTCAAATTGGGTACAAGAGATTACCTTCAGAGACCTTGACCTCTCGTCATTATAAGTAAAACTTTAAAAAGAAAGCAAAATGGAAAAGCCACAGAAGGGCTTATAAACCCCCAAATTCTAAAAATCACAGCTTTTTACTTCATACACACGAGTAAGTCCAGGAAAACATTTTCAACAACTCTAGAAGATTTCCTTTCACTGCTTTGGGGAAGTCCCTTCAAAAGAAAATCAAAATGCCTGTAAAAATCATTTATCTATCAACCTCTCAACTGACTTCAACAAAACACAAGTCAAAGGTCAGTTGATTTCTGAGGCTATTCACTAACCCTAACCACATGTGCCCAAAGAGGCAGCATATTGATTCATAATTCCTTCAACATTCATTGCATGCCTACTAAGTGCAGACACTGATGTAGGCCCTGGGGGAAAACAAAGATGCCTGAGTCTTAGTTGCTGATGT